TCGTGATTCTTTCATTCTTCGGCTCGTATGTGCACTCTTCAGGTTCCTCGAGATCCTCGCTGCATGAATGGGTGACGCTTGAACTCATTGGAATCGTTTCGATCCGACACACTAGTCGGTCCATTTTTTCCGTCAATTGGCTCATTTGGCCTTGCAAATTCCTTATGCGCATCCCTTGGCTCTCGAGGCTCGTCTCAACACTTTGCTGAAAGTTAAGGGTGTTAGCCGTCAACTCCATCATCATATCCTCAACTGACGGACCAGGATCCCTCTCAACTAATGGCTCGCAAAACTCTTGTTGAAATCTCAACGTGTTTAACCTGAATGCCTCTACCATATCCTCCACAGACGGGCTGGGATCAATTGGTGGCTCGAAGTACCCATAGAAAGAGTTCGAGTGCTCTCTCAAGTGGTATCCATACTCATCGGTATAGAAGTAGTCTTGCTCGTTCCTTTGCCAACCACTAGGTCCTCTTACGTCTCGATCTCCAATCCACGAACCTCGCATCTCCCTCTCATATTGGTAAGGTGTCTGGTGGGTATAAAAGTCATGATAATAGGCTGCCATCTCGAAAAATTGCGCCAAGATCGATCAAAATTGCCCCAAGACAAATTATTCTCTCGAGTATGGGGGTCTGTCCAGCAGTATGGGGGCGCTCAGTATTCTGCAAGTAAACAAAAACAAAGGAAAAGAGGGGGTAAAGGATGATAAAAATAAAATCCTAATAAAATAAAATAAAATAATTCAATTAGTACTTAAAATCACAATTCAATAACGCCACTCCCCGGCAACGGCGCCAAAATTTGACCGCGCGTCGCAACGCGGCAAAATTAATAATTTATATTTTGCTTAACCAACCTCTACTAACTAGTAGTAGTGGTGAGCAAGGGTCGAACCCACAGGGAGTGTGAATTAAATTGTGAATTTTCTCGTATTAATTGAACTTAAGAAAGCGATAAAATAGGGGGGATTGGATTTAAGAACTAAATAAACTAAAATCCTAATAAAGCAAATAAAATATAAATAAAGGAAATAAAAATTAAAATTAAAATAAAATAAATAAGAGAAACATCTAGTTCACGGTTCCTTCTACACCCTCGACCGACTCGTCTAATCAATTCTGGTATCAAATCTCGCTATCTATGGAATTACTAGCCCTAGGTAATGCCACGGGCTGTTACCCGAATTTTTTCTTATTTTTAATCTAACCGCGAGACGCTCTACGATTAAATCTAACCTCTTGAACAGTCTAGGAAACGCTTCCTAAATTTAATTCAATTAGTCGCTTTAC